ACAGAATATGGAACGCGGTGTGAAGTGTCCTGTTACAAACTTGATAGGCTAAGCCATAACAGTACATCGTATTCTCTCACAGGATCCATGTGGAGGCTCAGATCGCAGCGATATATGATTCACAATAATATGCTACTACAAGGCAATGGTTTGAATTGTTGCATATTGCGTAATAATTGCAGATACAGAACACAGACAGTGCTCCCATATGAGTATTACCTCTTCCTGTTGAGATTTTCTAACTTTGAGGTTAAAAATAATTTTATTTTTGAACCAAAGCCACCGAATTAACCGTACAAACAGACTCCACAGGAATGAGGAAGACAATTACACTTAACTATCACTTGTTTATTACATGAAATAGTCTGCCAAATCATGCTGATCAACCCACTGTAGTATCAAAGTGTCCCCGTGACAAGATTTAAGGAAGAGTATTCTGGTTACATTACTTTCTACACAAAATATGCCTCATGCGTTTTATGTTTCACTTGGGAATGCACTGACTCGTTATGGGGTGACCAATGTGCTCTTAATGATATACAGAAGCTAAGCACAAAGAGTTCAGAATGTTACTCATCACATATACATGCACTCCATCCTCTCTGTGATTAATGTGCTGTCTTTAGAGAACGAATACGGTGAGTTTGATTGTGAAATGTTTGGATTTTATCCAGTCAGTCTGCCTCTGGGCACTGTTCAGGCTACAGATGTTGCATTTAGTTGTTACTCACTTTCTCACTTACTCACTCACTCACTCAGCAGTGCTATATATTTGATAATACACACCCAAGTTGATATTGTTGTTCTTTTCATCTGTTTTTTTTTCTTTCTGACTAAGATAGGAGAGAGTCTGCAAGTCAAACTATCAGCTTCCTGAAAAGTTTCAACAAAAAGTTTTTTGGACAAAAGTCGGGAATGTCGTGACTCTGGAAATGGATGTCTGGTTGTTTTGTCCTTGGCCTGGCTGTTCAGAAGTTACTGTAAGCTGTGACTAAATCTGTCTGAAGTGACACTTTCTTTTCTTGTCCCTTGTCATTGCATGTTTTGCACAATTCTTTCTCTCACTCTCATTTTTTCTCCTCACACTCTCTCTGGCATGTTGTCTGCTTATGTGTGGAAAGCAGCAGAGCTCAAGATGTGTCATCAATCATCTGCGCTGTGAGCCGGGAGAGCGAGCGAGCAACACTTCAAACAGGGCTTCTTCTGCAGGTGTGGGATCAGAGACCCCGTCCACACCAAAACCCATCCCACTCAACTTCTAACCCCTCTGTTTTTTTTAACCCCACACTATATCTGAAGTACTTGTGTAACAAGAATCTCAATGCATTTAACCACTACTTTGAGTGATCTAGCTATTTTTGTAGCGTAATCCCAGAGGTACTTAAAAAGTATATGTAGCAAAGTCCAACTAGAAATGTGTATTTCAGTGTGTTTTCTGCAGATAAACTATCATTTTAATTACTGCAAAAAATTCCACCCCACAAATGTATCTTGACCTGAATCCACTTTTTTTTTCAATATAATGCATTTAGTTAAAAATAATACTGAAACTTGTGAACCCTAACATGTTATAAATGACATGTAATTTTTTATTTATTTATTTTTTTAATAGGTCTAACACGTCTTTTGACCCACAAAGGTGATTATTTGTGCGTGCAATGCACTCACTGGGCCAGTGACAGAAACCGCTCAAACTTATGAGCTATGGTTACTAAGGTTACTAAGTTCCTATTGTGGCCCAGAGTATACAAATATTGTATTGATTGTAATTTCCAGTTAAAAGGAAACAATGAAGTGATATTACACTTCACGGCTTTCATGTGGATAAGTTCAGACTAACTTCCAGGCTTCCAGATGACGTGCAGCTGTGTTCTTGCTAATTCCCTCTTTGAGTCAAATATCGTCAACTAGAAGAGCTCAAAAATGCTTGTAAGTGATTATAAGCAGCTATTTAAAACAAATCCAGTTATTACAATTTTCTCCCACAAGAAGTCGTGTACATTTACGTCCTTGCACCCCCTACAAGTCCAGGGTCAGACTTATCCAGTTCAGGGTGAATGTATGAACTGTAAGTATTCGTTTGTACTATAAAACCTTGGTCAGATTCAAACGTTCACTTCTGACTGCACTGCAAAGAACAACTGCAGCCTACAAGTGAATGGATAAAAGAAAAAAGGAAAACACATTTTCTCGTCTTTACTTTCTACATCAGTTCAGTAAGTGACAAACAATTGTGCTTATGCAATTTTGCTCACTTCTATTCGACAAAAGATGCACCTTATAAAGAATAACATGTAAATACTTTAATTTTAATTTTTTCTCCCTGATCATATGTAATATTTGTGGCACCGGGGATCAAATAATTTGTCCTAATCTGTTTTGTAATTTTTGTACTTCCGAGTGGATGAGTTAGGCATACATTTTTAAGCCATAAGTCATAGACACTCCTTATCGGTAACATTCTTCCCAGCACTATTTGAATCAGCACGTTTACATGCATCCTCGCTGAATGTGTCAGCTTCCGGTGCCACTGTTGTGAATGTAGCATGGGGGTGGGTGGCGGGTTGTGTCTTTCTAACTCACAGCCACTTAGGGTGAATCAGGAGGAAATGGTGGCAGGAGGAGAAGAGCAGCAGCAGGCCGAGTCCGTTGGGCATGGTTCATTTTTCTCCTAAGGCAGAGGGCGGCCCACGGGTGACTTTGATGGATAGGAATGCTGCTCACCCACACACACAGACACACACACGCCCACACATGTCCCACACGCTGACTCTCTCACACAACAACTTGCGCGTTTTGGCTTGCACATGACCCACACAGACTCATTGACTTCTACACATACAATCGCACACGGTCTGCTCTGTCCCACTAGATCTGATATTGGATGTGAAATATTTACGACCCACCCACACAGCCTTCCACCCTTGTCAATAAACTCTTCCCAGAAGTACGTGTGATGCATTATCACGGAGATGACCACATGTGGGGGTTGCTCCTGTATCCTTCATCACTGGCTTGTCCATGTGCATCGTAATGCAACATGCGGCATATAGTGTAACAGTTTTGGCTTTTAGGCTGCACAATGATAAATTCGTGCATTAATGCATTTTTTTTTCATTTAATCACATTGTGATTTGTCACATTAGCAAAGATAGAATGAGGGAAGATACTACACCAGTTGATGCAGATCAAAATAAATGACATATTCAACGAATGATCTGCTCTAGATACTAAAGAAAAACAAAACATGCCCTTTAATTTTTTTAAGAACAAAAAAACCCAAAAAACACCTCCCATTTTATAAAACAAAGCCAAGATCCAGATTAAAGAGAGAGCTGCACCTTTGTCACCAAACATGTCAGATTGTGAGCTCAACTGCCAGGGCTAATTTGGGCAAAGAGGTCAGAGTGTTCTGCATCACCTGAGCTGTGTTGACAGCCAGACCTGCTGACGAGCACAGCCGAGCCATCTCATGCCTGAAAGAAGGACTTAAACTCCCAAGCGGCCACAGTGACAAACATCAGCGCACATTAGCTCCTTCTCACCAAAAGTCATGTACAAACAGATCCATTAATGTGCAGCTGCCATCAAGTCCAGCGTAAAAACAAGCTGAAAAGTGAAGCGTTTGACCCAAACAAAGGGTTGTGTTTCAAGTTAGTGAGGGAGTTTAACCAACTCCTTTCACTTTGCTCTACTGAGTCAGCATCTTCCAAAGAGAAAGAACAAGATGGAGACAGATAAGGAAGAAGAGGGAGCTGTTGGGGCCAAGCAAAGACAGGGCCCTTTGTCTGCTCATGTAGGCTCTCGGAGATAATGCCAGTGTTTCTTTTGAACACAACAGCCTTTTCACACACACACACACACACACACACACACACACACACACACACACACACACACACACACACACATGATGATGATTCAGGTCTCAGACGCTGTGATAATATGCTGGTGGGGCACAGCCTCCCCTGCACAGTGGGAGTGTGTCTCTGTAATCAGACAGACAATCTGTGCTGGTCCTGAAGCAGAAAAGAAGGACAGTTCTAGATTGGTGCATTTAAGTATTTTCTGATGGCAGAGTCAGGCTTTTTCTTTTCGCTTCTTTTCTTTTTTCCGTGTCAGTGAAACATTGCAAAACATGTCTTGTCCTTGAGGTGGACCACATTGTGATCATTATCACAGTTCTAACCATAGGGACGTAATCACTGCGCAGACATATTAAAGCAGACTGTCCTAATCTACCAATATCAACATCCACTAGTGGAAAGTAAATTTACACACGTACTTAAAAACAAATTTGTCTACTTCCTTCTTTTTCACTTCAAACAGACTTCAATTCCTTTATCTTAAAAGCCATAGCCAACCTAGACTTTAAATATGTTTTTTAAGTTACCTATGTAAAATTATATCAATAGATTTAGAGTTAGATCCAATAATTACAAGCAACAATAGCCTATAAAACCTAATAAGATACCATTATGAAAGAGGCAGTTATGAATAATGAGTTTCAATAGTTGTTAAAAAGCAACTAGATAAATGGATAGTTACCAATTTGAATACACTTAGTTTATTATTACACTTTAGCCGATTTTACGTCTTAGTGTCTCTGCTCCAAAGAGCAGCAGCCCGTAGAATAAACTTCCTACATTCTTGTATAAAACAGTCATTTTGTACATTGTGCGCTTCAAGAATCCGCATTAGGTTATCAGCAGGGCATTAATTCCTCAAACGGGACCAGTGGTGTTTGTTTATCGGCGTACGTGTGTCGTATCCAGGGAGCGTGTTTACCTGTTGCCCGGTGACATTTTTCTCTATGTCGTCAAAGGTTGGCAACACCTCCAATATCGCCAAAGATTTAATTTCATTGACTCTTTTTTTAAGGTGGTAGGTCAGTGGCTGTCCGGGTTTCGTGTCTCTGTCGGTGTATGCTACCTTTAAAAGTCGTTCCTGCTGCTGGGAACCGCTGTGCTTGACACAGTTGGATAGCTTTATCGGTTAAGAATTGCGTTATAGACGCATTCTTTCCCACAGACGACAGCAAGTTGGACTTGGTGGCAGCAGGGAAACTAGGCCACCTTAAATGACATGCTGACATAAGAAGAACATTACTCTCCACCCATATCCGAGAAGCGTCAGTTAAGAGGAGTCTCACCTTTCCGACTACGCTCTTATCACCAAGTAAGACACCGGTGATCTGACTATACACGAAAGCATCTCGGGACCTGACTGTTCCCATTATTGGCCAGGACTGACGAGCCCGGGTCTGCAGCGTAACGACGCGCACGGGGCCACCAGAGAATTTACTGAGACGTTATATTGTGGATATTCAAGTGTCTGGATTTATCTCAGAGTTTTGTCGCTGTGTGGGTTTACTTTACATGCCAAAACTGGGGCAAGAGACGGGAACGCAGCAGACTTTTCCGCGAAGCTTTACAGTTTTCGCCACAGTTCTTGGTGAGTTCACTTTATTTTTTATTACGACTGAGCTGTATGTTATGTTACGGGTGATGTGTTAGTAAAGTTTGACACGCGCTTTATGTGTTGGCGAGAAATTGATTAGAGACCAGTCAATTGCGGATCGATAGAAACGTGTCAGCTGCTTGTATGAGACAATTGGGCGTAAATTCTGAGGGACAGCCTAATGTCGTGTTTATTGACGATAGCAGAATGTCATTGTTCCTGTAAATTATAATTAGTAGAAGACAGCAAGTCGTTGGTAATTATCTCAGATTAGAAGGAGAACGACAAATCTTATCAAACGTTGCTTTATGGTGACTGTCGTACTCAATACGAGTAAAAGCTGCCATACTTTAACGCATAAGGTTTTAAAAACTGCATGTTCCAAATGTAACCTATTTATACATATATTTATATATATATATGTATATGCCAGGGGTAAACTATGAATCGTTTGCATGCTTTCATTGTGAAAACTGATTCTTTTGCCACTGGGTGGCGACCGAGTATTTTTAATGTTTTTTTTTTTTATGGTAAAGTGCCTACTTAGGTTTGAAGAAACTGCAGAGGTAAGCTCGCTGTGTAGGCTTTAGGTGGCTCTGGGCTGTATGGTCATTTAAATATTCTCAGTCAGTCTCTCTTTGTGAGTTGCTCTGGTTACTTCTCTCAGGGATATTGCTCTCGGGGCTCTTATTGGTCACCTCAGACTTGAGAACTCGTGCTGCAGCAGTCCGAAGTCTGTGTTACTTGCATATACTGCAGCTTACCTGACGAGAATAACCTACTCGTTTCCAGCGTGGATTAGCGTAAGATTCGCGATCACTTGAAGGGTTCCTGCTTGCTTCTGAGGTCAAGGGGGAAAGAGGGTGGCGTCAGCACTATTAATGTCGTTACAGTACATCTGATAACTTGGAGCAGAGGGATCTTGTCTTTATGCCAAGGGTTTAAAAATAGCCACGTCCAAGTTGGTGTTGTTGGTTAAGTAACCCGGGAAATATAAGGGAAATAAAGCGAGTCCTGATCAAAAATCTACTCTCACGGTGTCGAAAGTTGATGATGAGCTACATATGCTTAAATTAAGCAATCAGTTGTATATTCACACTGTGTGCTGCTGTCAAACATCTCTTCAAAAAAGGCGTTTTTGGGATTAATGATGATCGCTATTTTCAGCCTGTTGCACAGTTCCCACACGATGAGACCCTTTAAACAGGCGGTACTTCCAGAGATGATGCACTCATCATCATATTTGTCTCTAAATATTATCTATAATTGGTGTATCTCGTGAAACGAGAATTCAGGAATGATTCAGCCGTGATTAACTTAAAAAACAAGTCATTTTTACGGGGACTGTCTTTAAAGCTTCCAGTAAGCTGTAGAGGCACACGGCCCTCGGTGTAGCCCTTTATTTGAGTATACTGTGATACTGTTGCATATTTTGCACTGTGCTGTAATTTATTATGAATGGCCTAAACTCGCTTGGCCTCCACGTGGGTGTCGAGCTCATCTTCCTATTGGCTGAGGTCATCGGCGTCCTGAAGGAGCTCTCCTGTGATTGGTCGGACGGCCTCGGGGGCTGTGGGCGTACTTTATCGATGGTGGAAGTGGGATACTTTGTGACAATGTTCATTGTCGATATTTCAGTGGGGCTGCCGTGGGTATGAGTGCGCAGCGGAGAGCCTTTTACTACAGCCGCAAGAGGCTTTGCAGCTCCGGATCGCGTGTCCCATCATCCAAAGCCCGAAAAAGCTCATAAAACATCCGAGAGGAATTTGTTGTTATACATTTTTTTTCTTTCTCAGACATTTTTTTTGTTTGTTTGGTTGTTTTTTTTTTTTTAAAAAGGTAACTGCCTGCGTAAATGAGCGTCCGTGCCATTTTTTGCTGACAACATACTTGCGTTTCTGTGTGGCATTTGCCCGTCTATGTAGCATTTCGAAAGACTTGCTTGCACGCTGGAAAGCGCAACAAAGACAAAGATCACACAAAGGGAAACGCGACGCTTGTGTAGTTAAATTTCCTCGGGGGATATTCTCATGATATTGACCGGAGAGACGACGGACTGGGTTTTATTCTGACTCTCGGAGAGCGAGAGAAAAAAAGGGGGCACCAAGAGGAAGAAAAAAAGAGAGAGAGAGAGAGCTCTGAATGCTGCCTTTGATTTGCAAGGAGATCAAGGGACTGTAGTGGAAGCGACGGATCTGCTTCACTATTCTTTTCACCCTTTTCACTCCCCGGCTCTGCTCGTCTTGTCTCCCCCCTTCTCTGAGCACAGGTTATCGGATGGACCAGCATCCCAGCGCCCGAAGCTGCACCAGTCGCGGGGCTTCGTCCTGCGAGGCCGTCCCGACTGAACCCTCCATGAATCTGTACATCCACTCCACCACCGGCACACGCTTCGAGCTCTCCTTGCCACTGGAGGAGACCGTGGAGGGACTGAAGAGGAGACTGTCGCAAAGACTCAAAGTCCCAAAAGAGAGACTCGCTCTGCTACACAAAGAAACGTGAGTAAACACGAAAGAAATGCATTGCAGTTGAACGTGTTTAGTAAACGTGGTGTTTTCGGATAGGGACAATAATTACGCATACTTATTTCTTAAAGAGCCAACCGGTACTTGAGACTCTGTACTATACGCTGACATCATAAGCCGTAATGTCTAGGATAGTCCGCAGTTCAAAATGTGCACAAACCGACTTTAGGTGCGCCCACCCTCCTGGGTTGAGGTAATATTTTCCAAACTGCACTTTAACTGGTTAAGCTCACGGGAGGCAAAGGTATGCCCGCTTTGGTGATCAATACGTTCAAGGAAACTATTGACCATGGGGGTGGACAATATTGGAATTATGGGCTGGGACTCACCAGTCACTGGAACAGTATTGACATGCAATCTGCAGACTTGCATTGATTCGTCCCCCCTTCTTATAAAAACTGAAGCATGACTGAATTGCTAATGCTGTGTGAGTCAAACATGTTACACATTAATGAATAAAGTCACACAGAAGTGCTAACCTTGACTGTATTTATACTGCTACTGCACAGGTGTGCATTATTCATGCGTGACTTGGTACTGAACTGAAGGTGGATATGTCTTGTGGTTGGATGTGAGTGTGAGCGTGCAGTTGCATGACAATAGCCAGCAGATTCAGGAGAATAACAGCAGTTTGTTTGTGTGAGGTATCAGACGGCCAGTTTCGCGAGGGCTTGAAAAACGCTGCTGTTTAAGCAGAGCTGCATGTGTGAGAGAATAGATAAACTCTTTATTATTCAAAACGAACCAGAACCTGAAGCATTATGAAGCTATGAAATGAATCAGGCACAGGTTAAACGAGCTCACAATAGTGCAGGTGGTGCTATGCAAAAAAGAAAGGGGGGGCTTTAGTACATGCGAACAGTCAGCATTGTTTTCAGCCCCCATCTCCTCCCACCCGTTGTAATCACCCAATAAATCACATCATCCTTTAAAACCTGAAAACCCCATTTTTAATCCCCTCCTGCGCCTTAAACTGTAGACCTACAGCAAGTCGGGGCTGACTGCCTTTGTTCAGCTGCGTGGCATAAGATTTGGGTCATGCCTACAGACCAGACTGCCCTAAACATCCTTCACTAACATAAAGCAGGCAAACGGCCAGAAACGGGTGTGAATGCTTGCATCGCATTTGGCTCTGAGATGCAAGCATTCCTCTTCTGTACCAGACATCAAGCAGTAAAGCCCTGGAAATGTGATGTGTTCTGTATCACATGATTTAACTTTCATAATCACTGACAGAGCCGTAACAATTTGGCTAAGAACGGCGTCCATGCAATTCTAGTACTTGCCATTCTTTTCATTTATAAATTTAATATGCTGTGGTTTTGGTTTCAGCATGAAGTTTTTCTTCCTCATTTGTGCAACTGATATTGTCAAGAAAAAAAAATTCTTACCTCCACTTAGACAAGTGCCAGTGGTGCCAAATATCCACTGCAAGCACTTGTCAAGCTCCACTATACTCGAAATTGAAATATGACAGTGCAATCAATACTTCTCTTTCGTGGAGCTTTACACCCACAGCTCTTTTCCAAAATAGTTTTGAAGTCCGTCTGCACCCCCTGGCTGAAGGGTGTTTGTATGTCTGAAGAGAGAATATATTGTCAGCACAGTCTAATTATCTTGTTCTCCCCAATCCCTGCAGGCGACTAAGTTCAGGCAAACTCCAGGATCTAGGCATCTCGGATGGGAGCAAGTTAACACTTGTGCCAACAGTTGAAGCAGGATTAATGGTATGGATTCAGCTTGCTGTGAATTTCTTTTAGTTTGGAGTTCAAATCTAAAGAATGAACTTAAAAAAAAAATTACACATATTAAATTTTGTATTTTATTTCTGTCATGCAGTCTCAAGCATCAAGACCAGAACAGTCAGTAATGCAAGCTTTGGAGAGCCTAACAGAAACTCAGGTAAGGATCTATGTGTGCCTGTGCATGTGTGTGTCCGTTGAGCCTAAATCAAGGCTGATAAAGCAAAGTTGGAATCCTGCAACTTAAACTGAGCTCCAAATTTTTTGTGTGCATATTTGCATTACGGCTAAAGAAGGTGGAAGCTTCAGTTAAGCACAGAGCAACACCCAGATATGGCAGAGATGAGCTGGCTGCGCAAGCCTCTTTGCTTGTCTAATCTCAGCCTCTTAAACAAGCCAAGCCAAGCTAGACAACCAGTGTGAGCTGCTAGAACATAATAAGCAACAACACCCTCCTGTATCCTAGTAACATCTGTGATACTGTGTATGTGTGTGTGTGTGTGTGTGTGTGTGTGTGTGTGTGTGTGCAAGCATGCACAGCCCTGTAGGAAGCTAGTGCGAACACCACTCAAGAAGAACTTATGTGCTGTTGAGAGGGCCAGCACTTACTTCCATCTTTCTGTTTACGCCTTTATCTATAATCTCTCTCCGCTCCTTCTGTATTTCACGGTCTTGACTGACAGGCACATATACACGAGCGCACACACGCAAAGGCGAGTTTCCAGGAAGTGTGCTGTGGCTGCATGGAGACTGATTGTAGTCTCACTCACTCATAAACAGAGTGCTGGATCATCAGATGACAGTCTTCTCACTCAGTATTAGCACAGGGTTCCTGGAAGCCTAGTGTGCATGCACAGGCCAAGCGAGGCCTACACCCTGTGCTTGCAGTGAAACAGTTCTGTGGGCCTGCTTAAGTACAGTATGTATTTGAGTCAGAGCGGCATGACTCACCAAAATGATCAATAGTGAGTGTGAAGTTTAAAAAAGACTCCGTGCCGGCCACAGAGAGAAACCGAGCGAGAAGAGAGGCGATAAGGCTGAACGCTCGCAGACAACAGTGTGACGTATGACACACTTTGCAGCTGACTGACTGACTCAGATCTACTTCCTTTTGTACAGTTGGGCAACACTGAGATGTACGTAAGTGTATCACTGATGCACTACTGTCTGATGTCAGAACGGTACAAGACGGTGAAACAATAACACTGATGTAAGGAGTTAACTGAACTCTTAACAGCGGTTACATCCTGAAGAATTTGCCCGATGCTGTTTAGTGGAATAATTATCCGATGATGTGGGCTGCTCAGTGATAGCAGAGTGTGGTTCAGTATGGCTTCTTGCCCTGCTGATAATTTTATGGTGGAAATCCTAGCCTTGGTGTGTGTGCGTGTGTGACAGAGAGAACTCAGCATGCATCTCGTAGCACTGACAGCAGATGACTGCATGTGTGTAGGTGTGTGTAAGTGGATGTGTGCGTGTCTGTTACTGGATGTGTGTGTGTGTATGTCACACTGTAAGTAGGCTGGAAGCAAGCCTTGCCCATCATGTGGTACGCCTTTGCTGGGTAGCCAAGAGTGACTGTCATTTTCACTAGAGGCAGATGATAATTCAACCGCCGACCCAGAGGAACCGATCTCTCACTCTGCCTGTCTTCCTGTGTATCTCCCTGTCCACGTAACCTTATTATACTTAGATTCGTTATGAGTCAAGTGCTTGCGTTTTTCTCACGAAATGCTTACCACACGTTACCACATACACCACTTTTGCATACATGTTTATTTCACTGTAAATGGTAATCTGACGCCGGGGTACAGAACAAATAATGGGTAACAGGAGATTGATGTCACAGTAAAACACAAAAAAGGCGTAAAGCTGCTTTAGTGTGTTTATATCCACAGAAATTGATTCTTCTTTATAATTCATGAAACGAAATGGAATGATATAGATTGCGGAGAGATTACAGATCTTTGTAAGATTAGAAAAATAGGAACACAAAAGCTTTGCCTCATTTCCTATCTCCTCTCTAACTCTGGGGCTATCAAAAATCAATCAATGCACTTAGCCCTTAAAAGTGTCTGACAGGATAACTGATATGCCCATGCAACCAAAAATAGCCTGAGGGAGGTATGGGTTAGTTCTTAGAAAAAGGCATACAAGAGTTGGTTGTTAACCCCTGGACCCCTAATAAGCCATCACCCCTTCAAATATTTTGGTCATGCAAGGTCTTATTTCCAGATTGGATTCCGAGCTGCACTGAGCAGATCACCGTATGTCTCCTCCTTTATCGGGATTATGAAGAAGTCTTCAGCTACCAGGTTGTTAGTCAACAAATCATGCAGCGCATGCCAGCTTCCAAGGGCTGTTTCAGTCTCTTGTGGCATGAGTTTGGGGTGGGGGGCATTTAATGGAAGTTCTTACCCAGCAATGATTAAAATGCTATTTTTTTCCAATCTCCTATGTTTCACCTCCCTCTCTTGTTTCTGCTTAGCAGCTCTCCTAGGGATCTATAATTTAAATGTGCTGTGGTTTGCAAGTCCGGCGAGCTGCCTCACTTTGACCGTGATGGCTGACTTCTTTAGCAAGGACAATCATAGCTGCCTTAATTTCTCCTCTGGCATCCTCCTAGACTTTTTTTTGCATGACATCTAAGCTGATTTAAGCCACTGCTTCCTGACAGCCCATCAAAATACAGTTGCCTGCACTACTCACTACTCTTTTCTTATTCTGTCTGCTAAATAGCGGCTGTGTGTACAGCTTATATTTGCAGTCATACATGGGAACACACACATACACACACCAAATTGAAAGGATATATTTAAGAGGATTTATGGTCATGATGAGAGAATGAGAAACTGTCTGAGCCTAGTTGTAAAATAAATGTATATTTCTATGACAAGTAGTGAAAGCAATATTTACCATTTCTAGTCACATTTAGGCAGTAACATCAGCTCTTGATCTATTTTAGAATTTGATTATGTGGCCATTTAACACACAGGGACTATTTGCTCATTGATGCACATTGACGGTAGAATAAAGCCAACCAGACGTCACCCTTACCATCCCTACCCCCACCCCCATTGCCCTTCCCCCCCTATGCAGCCACCTCTTTGTTCCCATCCTAAAGCATGAACACCACACCGGCTCAGCTGACAAACATAAGACAATGATTAGTCACTTTTCCACTTCAAAAAGTCATGTTAGGCACAAGGTAGGACAATCGTTTACTCAAACCTTCTCCCTAATCAGTCCTTCCAGTGCCGTTTGGGCTCCATCGGACTCTTGGAAGTGACATAATAATTTTGTGTAAGCTTCAGAATGTCAATTCTGAGTGTTCCAAAACAATATAAGTTATGTAACTATGGATCGGTGACACCAAAACGGTGACCTCATTGGAGCAAGCCAAGGTAGTTGTTGCTGTTTGTTCTGTAAGGTGAATTTTTAGATTGCTGATGGTGATGTTTGAGAGATCAGCTTTTAAGTGGCTTGTTTTTGAATTTAGCCAAGTTTGCATTAAGCTCAGAAAATTTTCAGGACTGTGCCCACCTACTTTTCAACCCCTCTCAAAAATTGAAAGCTCTAAAGGAGCAGTTCCTGTGGGACAGACACATCCTAGGATGACTAGTTCCTTTAGTGGTAGTACTGAGGTGGGGGGGTAAAGAAGGGCCTAATAGGCTTCAAACTCCAAAATCCTGTTAAGTGCAGCTACAGTGGTGCATACTGGTTTTTAAAATCGATGTGCAACCCAGCTGGAGCGAGGCTCAGCAGGCTTCAGATTGACAAATTTTGCCTTGAACACTAACACAGACTGCTTCAGGAGGAAGGCTGTGTTGCCATTCCACGTGTCCCAGGAGAATACGCTGTTACATATCTGCTCTACTTTTCTCGCTCCCAGCGACAAGCACCTCCTGTCCTCATGCACTACCTCCTCCCCCTCACTTATTCCTCCTCTTCCTCTGGCCGGGATACGGCACGGTTTTGTCTTTGTGTCTACAAGCAGACAGACGCAAACTTAACAGGCTCTAACAATCTGTGGGGAGTCACCTCAGGGTCACCCTTTCCTTATTTCCTCTGCTATCCCTCCCTCAGGGGTTGCCACAGTGGGCCTGACAGGTGGAGGAGAAAAGAAAGGGGGAGCTTTGCACAAGTCAGTCAGTAATGTGTGTTTGTGTAGTTAAGTGCTATTGGTTGGGGACAGTGGGCAGGAAGACTAACATGGTTGAGAGATTACAGGGAAGATGAGATGATAGAAGAAAAATGGAGATAAGAGGAGAGGTGCTACTAGAAAAGGAGGATTTAAGAAGTAGTGCTTTTTCTTTTTTTTTTTTTTTTTTTTTTTTTTTTTTTAAAAAGACAAATGAACTTTGGACCTGTGTGTGTCTATGTACACAATTGTTTGTAAAACAGCTCAATGCAAATGGTCAATATGTTTCTCTTTGCAGTCCTGCGCCCTGCACATCACCTTATATTGATGTCAGTTAATCAGTAGGATTGATAATACTGGAAATCATTGGAGAGTAACTGTATTGAGGATTTGGGAGCGCAAGGAATTGAAGAATGACCAAGTCTGCCTGTTGGTCAATATGAAGGGTTTCCTCCCCTTTTACATCCCCCAGCGCTCTCTGTCCTTCTCACTACTATTGAGATTAAGGCTTTTTATATGCATGCAGCTTAAGAGACAGAATCTTTGCTCTTTAGAATGGAAATTTCCTTTATTGTAACCTAAAATGAAAGCTACAGAAATTAATTTTGTTGCTGAATGTGTAAATCAAATCGTGCATGGAATAAAAAAACAATGCTGATCTAAAGGCCTTTTCAGTCCCTGCTCATGTAAATCCTGGCCTTGAAAATTGCATTAATAGGCTGATCATGCAGTATTTTTGCACCTGTGTAATCCCCTTTGTGATGCTTAAAATGCATAGTGGGAGGGGAAGTGCTGGGATGGGTGGAGGGAATCAAGGTGTGTTGTGGGGCAGTCAAAAGGGAGCTGGATTTGCAGGGAATTTCATTGTCCTATTATGTATATTCATCTCGATGCATGTGTTTCTGTGGGTGTGCGCATGTGCCAACATCCATTTTTAATGTTTCTCTTTGTATGTTTCCTCACTGAGCGACCAGGGGAGACTTACTTCTCCATTTTGGAGTCGTGACCGTCATTGTTTT